CCGCTGTCGTCTGGCAGCCCCTCTGCTCGCCCTCAGCCCACCATCATTACGGTGCGAGCGCCGCGGGTCTGCCATCCTCCAGCATCGCCATTGGCTGGAGAATCCCTCACCTCTGCCTCCAGCCTCCGAGGCCCGGACTCCGCCTCGGCCCGTAGACCCAGCGGCTCCACCTCGGCTCCTAGCTCCCTCGCTGCCACAATCACTCGTCGATCCACCAGCTCCACCGGGCTGCCTCGTCCCTCCGGCTCCGCCTTGGTCGGGCATCGACCCGCCATCGCCTCAGGACTCCGCTCCTCCGGCTGCACCTCGTTGCTCCGTCCCACCGGCTCTATTGGGCTCCTTCCTCCCGCCAGCTCCACCTTGGTCCTCAGTCACTCCGGCTCTGCCGCAGATCTCCGGATCTCCACCTTGGTCGCCAGATTCTCCACCACCTGCTCCACTGCCGTTGATCGGCCCCCTGGAGTCGGCGGCCATACCTCCTCCATGGCTCCTCCCTCCGTCGGATCCACCGTGGGTCGACATTATGGCTGTGGCCTGAGTCCTGCATGGCCCCTCCTGTCTCCTCCCTGGCTCCTCCCTCCTTTGTCACCTCCCTGGTCTTTGTCTGTCTATATACATACATACATACATACACACATACACAGGGATGCACATAAGTTTTTCGGTCTTGTTCTCATGAGAGCACCTGGAGATTTGGTTTGGTGCTCACACTGCACCAGTGTGACTCATTAAAAATAACTATAAAAAAAATAAAATAATAATAGTGATAGTATTATTGCACTTTATTTATTTTGTATGTTTAAATAAAATAAGCAAAATAACAAATAGAGTGTGGTAATACTATATTTAAAAATAAATGCGAGTATTAAATAAAAATATAATTATTTTATAGTATAGGCCTACTTAAAAATACAATGCTAATATTTTCTTTTCTTTTTTAATAATATAAAAAAATTAATTTTCAGCATTGTCAAATCTGAAATCATCAAGCTTTTATTTGGGCGGGTTGCCGACAAGTATATGCGCTGCTGGTTTTAGCGCTGCTGAGTGAAGCATCTTAGTGAAGTGCGTCAGTGAATGAAATGTCACATTTTTGCATTTTGCTATAAAACCGGCAGTGTATAGCCTAGATTTATACTTTAAGTTTGAATGGAAATCTTATACAGTATTACAGTTAGTCAATCTAAAACGGTGATTGTACATTAACAGCTGTCAATCATGTCGGCGCACAAATGAGCGGTCTGAACTTATTTACAAAGCGCATTTTTTATTTTGGTCACGCATGCGCATCTGCATCATTTATGTGCACCCCTGTGTGTATATATATATATGTATAAAAAGTTTTGTGAATTTAGTATCTTGTCAATACATTGTGTGTGTGTGTATATATATATATATATATGATTTATAATATGTCGAAATATTATAATATATATATATATATATATATATATATATATATATATATATATATATATATATATATATTTTTTTTTTTTTAAAAAAGGTTATTTTATCCATATGTTATGCTATGTCCTCTGTAGATGACATCGGGACTTTAAAAAGTCCTGTTTAAAAAAAATAATAATAATAATATAAAGACACAATTTTCGTTTTTATACCAAACTTTATATATAATAAGATGATTCTCAACTATGCTGTGAAAGATATTTTTAAAGACCATTTTTCTTTATGCAAAACGAGTTTTTCCATTATATACAATGTATCTATAAACTGTATCTAATTTGCATATTAATGTGTTTTTGGGGCAACATAGAATGAAAAAAATAAGTCCAATAATGGGAGTAATAATTGGCAAGATTTTAATAATAATATCTAATATTCCATAGGAATATTGATATGTATTTTTTTCTCTATTCATCTGTTGTGTCTCCCAATATGTGTAATAAACATGCTTTAAGTCCTGGTGTCCTCTAAAGTGGACATGTATGAAATTGATGTCCTGTTTCATAACAGAAGGTCATATTTTGATTTGAAACCCATAACATTTCTCTGAGATGTTGATTTAGGACAAACAATTTGAAAATGAGTCAGAATTAAATGATAATTACAAAATATGATAATATTCAAATGTATAAAGGTGTTACATTTGATCACTAAATTAATGTCAGCCATTTTTAAAGACCAAGGAGAGGGAGTGGTCATAGTCAAACCTCCAATCATTTGGTATCTCTGAAAAGCCCTGAATGTGCTCTGTGACATGTAAGGTCTCAGAGAAATCATTAAAAAACTATGTCCTCTACAGAGGACAAAACTCCATAGGTGGTAGTCAGGAGGATATATATATATATATATATATATATATATATATATATACACACACACTGTATATATACTGTATATGTACCCTATATGAGCATGCATTTCTGCATTTCTTCTGGAGATGCCTGCATGTTTTGTCAATGCATTCGACTTTCTGCAGACATGATATTAAGTAAACTTTGTTTAATATAGTTAATATCTAGACTTACATTACATTACAGACTTACATTACATTGCGTTGTGAAAATAGTGTCAAGGTCAGGGACACTTAATGGTTGATGTAAGTTTCATAAAGCACGTTAGAATAGTAGACATCTTTAATGGTTTGTGGCATTTTCTTATGACAGTTTATATTTATATGTAATTCCTGATAGGCAAGTGTCAGTTAGTGGTGGCACTTTTGATTAAAACGTTTATTTATTTGCTTTTTTTTAGTCATGGCCTCTGCATAGTCTCTATATTATTTTATAATTACAAATGATACAGCTGAACTGTTAAATCTATGCACACAAAAAAAATCGTATTTACGTGTTTGAATGCACTGTACAAAGCAGGCTACTGGAAATAAACTTACAATGAACAATACACATTAATGGGCATTAGACACTTTAATCTTAATATAGGAACTCAATATTTGTTGTACAAATGAACTCCGCGATGTAATAACTCGTATGCTTGACCGCAACATACTGTTAATTAATTAAATATCGTTCTGCCGTTAAGTGCGTGTGTCACGCAATCTACATTATGCAGCGACACCCAGCAGCAGGTGTCAGTCACTACCGAAGGTGCCACAGCGACACGCACCGCGACAATAGTCCATTGGCATGTCACAGGTTTCAGTGACACATAGCACTGTCCACTAACACGCGCCCCTGAAACCCATAGCATGTGCCAATGGCGTCTGTGCGTCTGTGCGTCAGATGTCATGTCACTTATTAACTGCTGCTGCACTGTTTTCAGCTGCTATAAACCTTATATCTAGCATGAAAGAAATAATTAATTTAACATGATACCATGACATTGTAAAACAAATGAAAAACATTTTCTCTCAAAAACATGTTTATCAAATGTATGCTAAAAAAGAAGCCAAGAATTAAAGTAGAAATATTAAATATGTATTATTTATATATACTATTTTCATATAATTACTTATTATTTATATATAATATTTTAAGCACCTCTGTCAGTGGATGTTTTGCTTAGATTGTAAATGAGTTATATTTGTATGCATTTCTGTCAGCCTTGTTGGTTTTATTATTTTTTTTAATCTAATGTTGGATACGTTTGCGCAACTTCAGTGGCTCGTCGAGACTTTTATTTTGAAAACATTCCTTAAGCGTGAACCACTCACTGGCAGCCATTTTGTAGGTCACGCCTACCGGAAACGGTGTCCGCACCTGCACCGACAGCAGAACCAAAATCGCAGGAATCCCGGTCGAGCCCCGTCACGTTTCGCTCGTCTCTCCCACTCCCATCCCGGTCACCGCGGTGTCCTCTGCGGCTCCAGCGCCTTTTCACGCAGGACTGATCGCTGGAGCGTGGGGGGGATTTTACAGTGAGGGGGGGAGAGAGAGAGAGAGAGGGAGGAAGGGCAGGTCCCTCATCATCATCATCACTTTCACTCCCTTCATCATTTCCAAACATCATCATCATCAACGCGACGAGGCGTGTCTGCGCTTACTACAAACACACCGGAACACTAAACCAGCAGCAGCACCGAACAAAATGAATCGCGTTGACCGCACGCCGAGCCCGGACGCCGTTTGATGTAGCACGTTTTATTATTTATTTATTTCTTGATCTGGAAATTTCTTGACTTTTTTGCGAGAGCGAGCGAGCGAGCACTGCGGCCTTGCCTCCAGCTGAATGAACGATGCGGACTTTACCAGCACCCTGATTTAGCCCCGCATTTCCCACGGATGACCGTTTCACCGCGCCAAACTGCGTCTCTTTTCTCCGATCTGCGTGTTTTTATGGGAGTGACGGATAGCTAGTAGCCGAGATAAAATGTGGAAGTGGAGGCGGCTGATGCGGTTGTCCAACCGCTCCTTAATGGCCTTCATCTTTTTCTTCTCCATGTCCACGACCTGCCTCTACTTCATCTATGTGGCTCCCGGAATAGGTAAGTGCGTCTGATAACTCGCCAGCATCGCTCATGTGTCTCGTTTAGAGTGATGCGATTAAACCTGTTAATCGTGTTCCATTCATCTCTGACTCCAGATACTGAACATCACCTCCCAAACAAGCACTAGTGACGGGTTGTGTTTAAAAACCCAGTGAGCTGGCTAACTAAACATCCATTATACTGTGATGCTGTAAAGACAAGCAATGCTGTCTGGTTAGGCGGCTCACTAGGTTTTGGGACGCAGCCGATGTGTTTAGAACCCACAATCAAAATAGAAATATTTTCTAACAATATCACTTTTTATCCATTTAACACATCCTTGCGGAATAAAAGTATTCTAAAAGTTGTAGGCTATATTTAACACACACTATTTATTTTGAATAAATACTTAACTTTTTATTTATCAAAGAGTCCTGAAAAAAATATCACAGGTCCCAAAAAATATTAAGCAACACAACTGTTTCCAACATTAGTTATAAATCAGCATATTAGAATGATTTGTGAAGGATCATGTGACACTAAAATCTGGAATAATGATGCTGAATATTCAGCTTTGCTTCACAGGAATAAATTATATTTTAAAGTATATTAAAATAAAAAACTGTTTTGTTAAATTGCAATAATAGGCTATTTCACAAAATTACAGTTGTTTTTTTCTGTATATTTGATCAAATAAATGCAGGCTTGATGAGCAGACGAACCTCTTTAAAAAATATAAAAAATCGTACTGATCCCATTCCCAAACTTTTGAACGGCAGTGTATATACTGTATATATAGGCTATAGGCAATCTACCTCATGAACAGTTAAATGTTCTCCCATTGTGCAATACAAATATGCAATAACCTTATATACTATTTATCAATTTACATCCTAGTACATCCCTACAACTTTATTTTTTACTCTATTCATTCTACAGTATTTTATCTATAGCACACCTGTACATATTTATCCTTTGTGTGTGTGCGCTTTGTATTTATACATGTGTATTTTATTCACATCTTATTTTTATTATCTGTGTGTTGTGTCTGTGTACTGGAAGCTTGTGACACTAAAACAAATTCCTTGTATGTGCAAACATACTTGGCAATAAAGCTCTTTCTGTCTTCTTATATGCGTGTGTGTAATATAGCATACAGTAGGCCTACTACAGTATGAAAATGCATATTTTTCAATTAAAGAGAGCTTCTTTGGGTGCTTGACACTTCATTGGTCATATTTTGTGTTTTAAGAATGATATTCAAGGCTAAGAATACTCTGGAAGTTACATAAATGTACATTGTTTTATCTAGGTGTATACATTAGAGAAATATGATTTTCCTTATTGATCACTTCTTCCCTCAGGTAAAATGCACATTTTCTTGCGTGGCTGGATGTTGGAATCACGTTTTTTGCATTCGCTTAAACTGATTTGCTGAAGTCAAACGCGGTCATTAAAAAACCCAACTCAGTTAGCGCGAGTCCGGCTCGCTGGGAGCGACCAGCCGGCAGAGGATTCCACTTGGTCTTAAAGGGGTCATATGATGCTTTTTTTAAAGATCATTATTTGGTGTAACAGAATATGTTGACATGCTTTAATGTTCAAAAAACACATTATTTTTTTAAATACTGTACATTATTGTAGGTCCTCTATGCCCCGCCTCTCTCAAACGCTTCGTTTTCTACAAAGTCCCGCCTTCCGACAAGCGCAGTCTGCTCTGATTGGCCAGCTGACCCAGTGCATTGTGATTGGTCGAACACCGCAAGCACTCGTGGGAAATGTAACGCCCCTTACCATAATCGCGAGCTTCTTCTTTCAAAATAAATGTAAAGACCGTAAATAATGTCATTAGTTTTATCATCATTTCAAGCCCGAAAGGGGGACAGAGTCGCGTGACAGACACAGTGATGAAGCTGGTATGTGTTTGCAGTACACAAGCCACGATTGAAGGGGCGGTCACACTAGACTTTGAACGTGTGAAATTTTTTCGGATGCCACTGCGAATATGGGCGGGAGCAGGATATGACATCACGTGCCAAGGTTTCCCCTCAGTTATCACAACATGGATTCCGATGTGCTTGTACTGTGTCTTTTGTGATGGCGTCGAAAGCGTCTGGAAAGGAGAAGGTTCACCCTGTTCTACTGACTGGGAATGAGCGGGGACAGTTCCATTCTTTAATTCAGGAGCTTCGGCTGGATGAGGATCACCACAAGGAGTACTTTTGGCTCAGTCATATTTTATTACCATTTTTTAAACTATAGTGAATAAACTGTATTAATGAATGAAATGTTCAAGGTGTCTGAATAAATTTTGGTTTGACTGTACATACATATATATGGGAATATATATTCCGAATATAGCAATGTGTCCATTCCAGTTGGCTAATTTGTGTAAATATATATATATATATATATATTTTTTTTTTAAGTGCTGTAGGTTTTTCCCTTTAAATAGGTCATTTTATAAGTTCTTGAGGTGTGCAAAATTAATTTTAAAATGAAAATATAAAATAACGAACAATATTAAGTAATTTAATAATAATACACTTGTGTATAGTAATTTTATTGTACTCTCCCTCTCTATATATCGTCTGTTCCTGTTTCCATTGACATCGCGAACCATGCAGCTTCTTTTTTTATTTGATGAAACCACGCTTTCTTTCTTTGCGTGCACATTTGGGCGCATTATGCAGATATTTCCACATAGTGAGGTAGATATGTGGGGGCATGTTAGAACGAGCCGTTTTAGGGGGGCGTGGCAGAGTCTTAACTTTGATAAAGAATATCTCTTTGGTTTTGAGACTTTAGTCTTTGCAACTTCAGGGATCTTATCTATGCACAATCAGCTTGTAACACTCCAAAGAGAAAGGAAAACATGAAATCGCATCATATGACCCCTTTAAAGCCTCCCTGGAACGGCTATGTTCACAAATCAAACACTTGTCAAAAAAGAATGATTAATTCTCAATTTAGAGTTTGTTATTCGTATGGTCTAGGTGTTCATACGGCATATGCCTTAAATACGGGACAATTCTGTACTATAGGGAACGGTTGGCAACCCTACCCACAATTAAATCAGATTTGGCCACTGAATCCACCATTAAATGGTTTTTTGCTAGGTTTACGCCCTCCTTAGCCAACATCTTTTTTGTCCAAGTTTGTGTATTTGAGGTATATTGAATTATGGGCCGTTATTGTGTTCATGTAAAGCTCAGTTGGCTCTTGTTGGATCTGGGCCTATCATAAACTTCATGATATGGTACGCTTTTCTCCCTATCAGCCTAATTTACCATAGTTTTTAAAATAACGGAAATTTATCAGTGAAGAATATAGTAAACACAGCTATAACCGTGTATGGTTGCTTATTAGCATATGGTTTCTGTAAAGCAAAGTAGTGTTTGGTGTGAAATATACCACCCTAAATGCATTGATATATCATAACTGGTGTCCTAATTCTAATAAAAATAAAGTAAGTTACAACATATCTGCAATATTTTCATTACAAATACTGTGCTTACTGTAGTACACTAGCTGTATCTACACCCTTGTGAAAAAGCATAGGCTACTTTTACATTTATATTACTAAAATAATATACTTAAGAACTGAATGTGATGTTCTTGGGCAAATAATTGCATGTTATTTACTATAAAATAAAGTATTATAGTTAAACTTTTTATTAAATGCTGTTAGTTTAACTTTGGTTGGACTTAAGTAGCCTACAGCTTTATATGTAGTTTCATATTTACATTTGTTTTTGCTTTTCATATCTGTCTTTTAAATATGGTTAAAGTGTTCTACCGAACACACCAAGCATTTATGGTAATCGTAAAACATACTTCAATGTCATTTTTTTTAAATATCATGTACTCAAATATACTCATAATTACACATTTGTAAGGATGAAGTTGCTATTGAATTCATTTAAAATATATTAACGTTAAATGTAACGCAGTACAGGCAAAATTATAGCCTATGTCATGTTGACTGTCAAACGAAAGCACAAATGTTGACAAAAAATTAAGACCTAATGATGTAAAATGTACTTTAACATAATATGTTTATTTTGGCATTTCAACAACGTGTTAAACAGTCATGAAAGTGTACTCTCTTGTATTGGGATGCTCTCACAACTGAAGTGTATGTTAACCCATTTGCAGTTTGTCGTGACTTGCTTAACTAAAGGTCTACACAAATGTTAAGTTGCTTAAAACAAGCTGTAATATTTAACTTTCAACCTGACTGTTGTCCCTATAGACTTTTGAAGAAATAAGAGATTTCACAGCCTGCTTAACAATCACAGTTTTGTGTTGATTTGTGGACATGAAACCGATCACTCTCTCTTTCGGTGTTTGTGCCAAAATCTTTATCTAGAAATCTAGGCAACCCTCCAACACATGCCACTACACCAACAACACACAGCCAAATCCTGTTTAATAGCTCTTGCTGTGTTTGTATAATCAGTGCCCAAGAAAGGTAATGTTTTTTCCTCACCGTTGTTTGACCGGCCTTCACTGGACTGTGTCTAATGTATGAAGAGCTCTGGGCGGTTAGGAAGAACCAATGTGTGTGTGTGTGTGTGTGTGTGTTTTTTTTGTTGTTGTTTTTTTTCTTGTACCTAGGCTTGGAGTTATTTTTTTCTACCATTAATGGCTGCTGTTTATATTCTGGCTTGAAGATTTGTATCAGCATTGGGAATCCACTTGCTGTGGTGCAGTTTCCACACAGCGAAGCTAATGTTTTTTTTTATATATGTACGACCCCCAAATAAACTTAAATTTTTTTCTCATTTCTAGACTATGTATTACAATCATTTTTGGTTTTAGAATTGCTGTTATGGCAGCAAAAAGGGGACAAACTCCTTATTAATGCTCATGGGTTTGAAATTAAATGGTAAATAATCAAAAATGGGTGTGGTGTTCGATGTCCATATACTTTTGGCCACTTTTGACACATACATTTGTTTAATTTTATTTAAAACCAAAATACAATTTATATGTGATAGATGCAGAACATTGATACAAATAATGTTTTCATTTTACACTATTTCTGCAAAATTCACTGCAAAATATTAGAGGGTGGGACATTTACACTTGCATTTCTGTCTTCTGTTGTTAATTGTTAGTTATGGTTATTGGCCACTGCTGATAATGTTAAAATTAGGGCTGCACGATAAATCGCATGAGATATTTAATGCGCATCTTGTCAGAAAGCCGGTTCTGTAATCAGCGGTAAATCTCCATCACGTGCGGGCTTTCACATTGAGCAGCATTAACTACACAGAGCCGTTGTTCACTGACGAGCTGCGCAAAAAATCGCGCGAATATGAACTTTGAACGTATATCGCATGCGATTTATCGTGCAGCCCTAGTTAAAATATATAAATGTTATCTAATGTATGGCCTCTCACTAGAATTTACAGGCGAGAACAACAGATTAGTGTTGTTATAACTTGTTGTAACCCATGCATATTATATGTGTGTAAAATTTGTCCTTTATATGCAGTAACCAAAATATGTTCTCATTTAGATTGGTGTACGCAAATGTCTTGAGTTTACATTTATGTGCTTATATAGTTTTTCCTTTCAGAGGATGTGAAACTCGGTACAGACTTCCATCCATATCTATAGTTGAGTTCAGCGATAGACATTCTGCTGATCTCGGTTCATTTCCCCTCATATATGGACTCCGAAATGTTGGTCTCAGGAATGCTGACCCAACCTCTGTGTAGTAGTTAAATTAAAACCGCATTACACTGACAAGAACCAAGGCTACACCTCAGACAGCCATTGATGCTTACAATGATGGGAGCTTGTAGTTTCAACATTTGCCATTTTCTCACAATGCTGCTCTTAATAGCTTTTGTTTGAGAGGAAGATATTCAAAACGAAAGCCTTCAATTTGGCTGTCCGTTTATAGTTGTTTTGCAGTGTGGAAATTTGCATATTTCTGTTGTGATTACATATTTGGTTACTGTTTTGTTTCCTCTACGTCATTTTGGAAATTCATTACACCTCCTCTCTTTCTCTGTTTCAGTCAACACATATTACTTCATGGTACAGGCTCAGGGTATCATGTTACGAGATAATGTGCGGACCATTGGTCACATGATCAGGCTATACACCAATAAGAACAGTACTCTCAACGGCACAGGTAAGAGTGAACGTCCTTTCATAGTAACATCGGCCAGACTGATCCTTAAACTTAACACTTTTGCAAAGGCCGGGGTATACTTAATTGTTTGCTTTATGTAGTGCACAGTTGAGCATGGGGTTGGGTACCGAAACCCCGGTGCCAATATGGCACCTATGTAACCGGTATGTACTCGTACCGAATCAGAACGCAGATTTCGGTGCCTCATTTCGGTGCCACTTAAATGCCTGAGCGATCGATTGAAATATTTGTCCTGGTTCTCCGAAATGGCCGTAAGAAGCATGGGCGTCGCTAGGCCATTTTTAGCGGGGCTCCATAAACTGTACACAAATTCGTGATCGCCACAGAGTCAGTCCCCTTTAAAATGGCAGCAGATGTTGTCTGCTCCCCGTCTTTCAGCGCGCTTTTCAATCCGCAGGCCGCGGCGGTGCAGAGCGAGCCGACTCAAACAGATACAGAGGACACAAGGTGTGTGTTTATCGATAGATTGTTATAATATCTGTATCATAAATACAGTTTACAAAAGGTCACAAGGGAGCAATCGGTTTCCCATCTACTGTAAAGTTTTCGCTGCGTTCACCCCTCATCACACCACAGCTGTTTCCTTCAGCGAAAATCTAGCCCTTAACACATATGAGGCTACTTTATAAAACGATCATGGTGCTATTTTCATTTGAAAATTGAATATGAAACATATTACAGTGCATGTGGCATACCATAGCCTACAGTCATTCACAGAACTGATTAAAGACAGTGACAGACAGCACTCTAAATGTCATTAACTAAATGTCAGAGTGATTGACAGAGATACAGTAGAAACGTGTGGTTTTGTATTAAATATTATTTTGTATTAAATAATGACCCAGATCGGGAAATACATTTATTAGCCTTAGAGTAAGGGAAGCACAACTCAGGAAATGATAGCATCCGAGGAGCATGTGAATGCTATGTATATTATGTAACCGGTATGTACTTGTACCGAATCAGAACGCAGATTTCGGTGCCTCATTTCGGTGCCACTTAAATGCCTGAGCGATCGATTGAAATATTTGTCCTGGTTCTCCGAAATGGCCGTAAGAAGCATGGGCGTCGCTAGGCCATTTTTAGCGGGGCTCCATAAACTGTACACAAATTCGTGATCGCCACAGATTATATTCACAGTTATATCAGGAAATGATAGCATCCGAGGAGCATGTGAATGCTATGTATATTTATTTTAAATATTTGTAGTTTTTTTTTTTTGTGGCTCTTTTTTTTTTTTTAAGTATCGGTTCAGGCACCGGTACCGTTTTAAAAGTATCGGTTTGGCACCGGTATCGTAAAAAACCCAATCAATACCCAACCCTAGTTGAGCATGCAAGTCTTTAAATGTGTACACTATTAATCTTAAGCGTGGATGAACACGCTTACCTAGTGCTGTCCACATGGATACAAAAATCTATGAAAATCATGACAGAAATGACACCATGCAGACTGTCCACGAGTTGGGAAGGGAAGTATACTTTTGGCTTAATAGATCCTGTTTCTTGGCTTCAAAGTCAACATGAAGTCAATTTGACCTCCTCACTTAAGGAATGTCCCTGGTCTCACTGTGAAATATTCATCAATGTTGTTCCACAGCACAAAAAAAACCAATAATAATAAAATAAATGTAATAACTTGGTATTCTTCTGAAACAAAAATGCTCTGGTTTCATAGACTCTACAGGCTGTTAATGATTTTAACCAATAGCCAAAGAGCTATTGACACTCTCATTCAAATTTTTCACCATCCAATCAATTCCCAGTGGATAAAATCAAGTGCCGTCCCACCTTTTATCTCATCGAATATCGTTTTGCTGATAAATAAGTCATTTTTTATTAGATTGTGCTGGTTTTAACCCTGAGAGAGAACTTTAGAGTTAAGTCAAGTTAGAGTTTTTAGCAAAAAAAACCCTGATGTAATAAATTATTCTCACCATGAAAATAGCCACAGAAGCTGGCATGGCATTAGACACAAACTGATAAATAAGTCACACTATGGAAATAAACTGGGAATAGCAAGTCACATTGACTCTAATATGTATCTGTCTGTCTTTATTTTAACAGATTATCCAGATGGAAATAACTCTAGCGAGTATATCGCTCAGCCAACCACATATCTCCCTGAGAACTTCACATATGCTCAGAACCTGCCCTGTCCCGAACGATTACCTTCTATGAGTAAGTGTCTTGAGTTAAACAATGCGTTTGTTTATTTGACTCAGAAATGATTTGAATATTGTTTGGTTTTGCTATGCTAATGATGCAATATTGAAATATGCATTCAAATAGGGCTGCACGATAAATCGAAATGGAATCAATTCGCGATTCGACAGAAGCTGCGATTGTCATACGTATCTTTCAGTGAAGCATGGTTCTGTGATCAGCAGTAAATCTCCATCCAAAGACCTGAGGGCGTTCTCGCACTGAAACTCCAAATACGCCTCGCAGAAGAAACTCAGGAAATGGCTATAGCGGTAGCTGGATAAACAGAAGATTTAACTGCTTTTATTGATTCAACGTGACTAATAAACACATGATTATGACAATATATGGTTTATCTGAGTTATTATTATTATAATTTTCATTAAAATAAAGTATATTTATAAGACAATGCCTTTATCACTGCTTAGAATATTAGGAAATATGTTGCGTGCCTTATTCTGTGTAAGAAGCCACATCATCTCACAGAAGGATTTATTTCAAACACTCGACTGACGCTATGAAGTGATTTTGGAGTAAAAATATGTTATTAAATGTGGTATTTTCACATGCTTTCAGATGAAGCAGCATTTACTACACAGAGCCATAGTTCACTGAGAAGCTATGCAGACAGCTGTCATTATCGCAAACTAGGGCTGCACGATAAATCGCATGCGATATCATGTCAGTAAAGCTGGTTCTTTAATCAGCGGTAAATCTCCATCACGTGCGGGCTTTCACATGGAGCAGCATTAACTACACAGTGCCGTTGTTCACTGACAAGCTGCGCAAAATCACGATCATATTTTGTGCATGTTTTGCACAGCTTGTCGGTGAACAATGGCTCTGTCTAGTTAATGCTGCTCCATGTGAAATCCCGCACGTGATGGAGATTTACCGCTGGTTACAGAATACTACTTATTCAGAGACATTTTTCTTCTATAACTCACCGTTAATTTTTTTCACACCCCTGTGAAGGATAAATCTGGTGCTGCTTTAGCTTTTGGCCAAAAGAAGGCATTCTAAACAGTCTTAGAAGGTTGCATAAAACAGCCTTTGTTTGGGGAGTGTGCCTGTGCTGCCTCTCTAAAACCTCTCTAGCCACTTAGCTTTTTAATCTACACTTCTCGAGTTTAATATACTTTTTATCTCATTTGTCTCTGTGTGAGGCTCACGCATCACATTGGTTGTGAATTGTTTTGGCTTGTCTTCACACACTTTTTTTAAGAAATTACTAAGAATTATTTTTTTTTTTGCTTAGTTTCTTGTTGTTTTTCCTTGCAGAGGGTCAGATGGAAGTGAACATGACCGAGGTTCCTGTGGAAGAGACTGAACTGAAGCTCAAACATCTGGACATTCAAAACGTACGGCGCGCTCTCTTCATTTTATCAAATTATCATAATCACATCTATTCATTTTACAATCCTGCTACTAGCATTTTATTCAGACTAAAACCCCTTTAATTCGGGAGAGAAAGCGGGGGGTTTTTTGAGTGGCTTTTGTACATCCTGTCATGCCGGTGACTGCGTGCTGCTGCAATAGACGCATTTTGCTGCATTAAAGTTAACGATTAATTGATTAATTTAAACGACGATCGATCATGGAAATGATCGAAAATTGACATCCCTAATTCATGCCATAGTTAAGACTCTTTCTTCTTTACATTTCAAAGAAATGTTGAAACATTACCACTTTCCTTATTCATCCAATCCATAATGTCTGTCCAAATCATTTTGATGGGCCTCAGGGAACCTAATTTGTATTTTTGTAGATGTTAGGGACCTGTAGAACTCTACAGTTCCTTAAGTTCACATCCTGCTGTATTGTATCTGTAGTAAACAGCAAATGCAAGGGTGCAGTTCATTATTATAATTTGTTTGGTCATTCACAGCAGTTCATAGAACTTTGATGTTAGGTAGGACTGAAAAGCTTTAGGGACATGCAGATTTTAGGACTATTTGTTACGCAGATTATGTCATTTGTGAAATGAGGTGTAAACGCAGCTCTAATTGCCTCTCAAAAGTGTTTGAGGTAGTTGGAGAATTTACCAAGGATTGATTAAAGACCCCGTGGTGCAGCTTTGCTTTGGTTGAGTTTGAAAGGATGGTTGTTCCTCTGAACATATTCTGGTTGAAACCAAAACTGCTTTGCGGAATCTGCAAGGAAGTAAATGTGTGCTGTTTTTCCTTATCGTCTTGTGACGTAGTCTGACAGTCTGTGCTATTAAAGGACTTTTTTTGTTGCCTATTGCTTTCAAGTGATTTCTGATGGTAAGGTTTATGTTTCTTCTTTTTATTTTCCTCTTTTCCTTGTTTTTTAAGAATGTTTTACAAAAGATGGCATATTTGTTGTTTAGTTTGCTAAGTGTTGTATTTGTGTTTTCAGTCTTCCCTACAATGAGTTTTTCGGTGGAGTCAGTGGACTTACTGTTGAACAATTCCTTAAGATCAATGGCTTTCCCAATGCATTCTGGGGCTGGGGCGGAGAGGACGATGACCTCTGGAACAGGTCAGTTGTGTTTAATTAGTAGTATAAGTCTTTTATAACTATCCAGTTACTTTTGTACAATAAGCAATTGTTGCTTCTCCATGATGTTGATGCATGATGCTGTTTAAAGTAATCATGTTATCATAAACAAATATGTATATGTAAAACAAATATGTGTGTGGGTGGGTTTCTTGTTCTCAGGGTACATTACGCAGGTTTCAATGTGACCAGGCCAGAAGGTGATATTGGGAAATACAAATCTATCCCCCATCACCACAGAGGAGAGGTGCAGTTTCTGGGGAGGTCAGTGCACGCACACATACGTAAACACTGGGGGTAGGTTGTATGTGCATACATTTGTACTAATATATGAACTAAAATAAACTACCATTCAAAAGTTTAAGATAAGTGTTTTTTTTTTTTAAGAACTTGATACTTTTAGTCAGCAACGATGTGTTAAATTGACAAAAACTGACGGTAAAAACTTTTACGTTACAAAAAACTGTATTTAAAATAAATGCTGTCCCTTTGAACTTTGTTCGTCAAAGAATACTAAAAAGTATATCATGATTTCAACAAAATAGTAAGCGTCAGCAACGATGTGTTAAATTGACAAAAACTGACGGTAAAAACTTTTACGTTACAAAAAAACTGTATTTAAAATAAATGCTGTCCCTTTGAACTTTGTTCGTCAAAGAATACTAAAAAGTATATCATGATTTCAACAAAATAGTAAGTGTTTTATTATCTGTTTATTGCTTGCAACATTGATAATAATAAGAAAATCAGCATATTAGAATGATTTCTGAAGGATTCCCAACGAAAAGTTGTTTATATTTTAATATTTTCAAAGTATTACGTTTTTTCGCTGTATTTTTAATCAAATAAATGCTGCTTTGGTTAAAAGAGATCTTTTTCAAAAACGTTTTAAATCTTACCATAACATTTAAAATAAATGTTTGTTAAATGGCACAGTTTTTTAAACATCGTAAAGTACATCTTAACATCAGTCAGTCACGCATTATAATATGATGATCAAGTATTATTTAATGATAGAACTTTAGTAATTAGAATTAAAACTTGATAACCATATTTGAATGCATATTAGTCATTTTATCTGAACATTTTTACTGGACTGGTGATGGTGCTTTTTTGGTCATTCAGTGTTTCTGGAAAAAACTAACAAAAATACTGATAATAATAATACGAATTCTACTAAGAACAATATAAAACGCACTAAGGATTAATGAGATGCTGGATTCATGAATATTAATCAGGTTGTGTGCGTTCGCTCGAACTGATTTGCTGAAATCAAATGAGGGACGATAATAGGTGAGCCAATGAGATTGCCGTTTGCGCATTAGTTCCGCCCACTACCGGAGAAAGCGGCAGTTCTTAAAAACTCAAGAAATCCAAAGGAACGCTGTTATTTTGACAGGAAAATACAACAAAGAATATCGTTTACATGTAGCGTGTCAATTCTCTCGCTGCGTGTGTGTGAGAAAGCGACGGCGAGTCGTGCACTTCACACTAGAGTTTACGGTACGTCAAATACAGGTGCGTTGCACATCCATTCAGATGAACTGAAAAATAGCACAGAGCGCTTGATGGAGAGAGAAACTCTGAAGCGCTCAGTAAGAGTGTTCGGCGAGTGAAAATATATCTGTGCTAAACTTATACTTAGCCTCCTACTCTCACACTGGCAAGTAAAATCTGATAATTTATTAGCCATTGGCTAATATTAGACATCATTTAGTCGCCCAGAGTGAAGATTTAGTCACATATGCGAGTGATTTACTCGCAATGTAGAGGGTTGTGGCGTAACAATGTAATCGATAAATCTTAATTTGAAGTGACAAATTACTTTCAAAAGTTGATTTACTCTATTTTAATCGCTACCGTACACATCAGAGTTTATATCTGAACTATAAACTTTTATCCCAGTACTTCTGTGATTTGAATGTTTATAACACAGAAATAATGATACTGTGTGGCTGAAAAGACTGTGAAGCTGGTTTCATTCATGACAGATGACAGCTGCTCTCTTTAGGACAACGGCAGCGCGAACGCAGATTTAAATGTTCAAATCACACTGGTGTGATCGTATGCTGCACGGACGAACCAAGTGATCACAACATTGATCTCGCACATCAAAGTTTGAGGAATGAAACAGACAAATCCTAATTTAGGAACAGAATCATGTTGGTGTTTGAGTAGTGCTCGCGATCTTTAACGATCTATTTAATTAAAGTGCTTTCATGTTGGTGGTGACACCTCTCTTGCAACATGTTTAGCTATCACAGATATTATACTTAGCTTTTTTGTTTTCTGATCGCAAATGTAGCCAAACTTTGGAGCGCTTAGATTAGCGAGCAAGGTCCTGGCAGATCGCTCGGTCCGGTGTAGTGCCGAAATTTGCACCCTGCCAGATTATGCACCCCCTAGTATTGGTAGGTTTAGGAGTAGGTGTGGGGGAGGGGTTAGGATTAGGGGAGGGGTTTGGATTAGGGAATCAGGTAGCGACTTCAACGAGGGGGTGCATAATCTGTCAGGGGTGCAGAATTCGGCACAACACCGGTCCTCACAGATGAAGAAAATAAAAAAGCGCATAGGAATCGATAGGTGGAATCGAAATTTTAATTTGACAAGTATCCAATTCCTGACCTTAAATATCCGATTCTGGAATCAGAATCGATTTTCGATTCCCAACCCTACTAGTACTTCAAGAACTAAGATTTGGAAGGTGGAAAATGGCTTTCTTGTCACTGTTCTGTTCAGTCTTTACCTCTGACCTGCTTACACTTGACTTGACCTGACCTTAAACAAAAGATGTATCTGTTTTTGTGTAACCCAGAGTGGATTGACCTATGTGTGACAAAAATATATTTGCGGTCATACATAAATTGATCTTTGCATATTGTAGCAGATTATCTCAAGGACACACTAACCCCCGGTTCATCTCGCCCTCCCCTCAGGTACAAGTTGCTGAGGTACTCTAAAGAACGACAGCATCTGGACGGCTTGAACAATCTGCAGTACTCTCCAGAGATCTCTCTGAGCAGCCTGTATAAGAACATCACAGTCAATCTGAATCCCGAGCTGGCCCCCATAGCAGAGTACTGACAGGCTGTGACCCCCAAGTCAAAAAATGTGATGTATCAATGCCAAATGCCCTTAAAAAACAGGAGCGAGGAGGGCAGAGGCCTGTCTAATGCACAGTTAGTTGCGTGACGGGAGTGTGCGTGTATGTGTGTGATTACTGGATCATATCTGTGAAAGCGTATTAGCGTGACTGCGTGCGTTTAATTGCATGTTCCTATGTCCATGCTGGCTTTAGCGAATCCGATCACAACACATTTAAAAAAAGCTGGGGAGTGCCAGCGTCAACAAATCAGATGTTTACTGCAAAGCCTTAATTGAATTGAATAGGCTATCAAACTCTATAGATCCAGTCATCTGTGCTTACATTGTAGAAAGCTTGGTTTTACATTGCAACAGCACTCTTGACACCAATAGACGTTTTGTCATGTTCTGTTTTTTTTTTTTTTTTTTTAAAGGAAATTGTTTAGAAGACATCGATGCAGTTTAAATGGATGTATTTTAAACCTGTTCTTCACTTCAGATCGTTTTGTTCTTGTATTACGATATACATTTCACCTTGGTGGTGTGTTATGTTATGTTTTTTTTTTCTCCCCCAAATCCCATGGCTATACAGAAGGCTGTGACAAGTTGCATGCATGACCCAGACTCCCCTGTAAATATCTGGCCTTTTAAATGATCCTTTAGCTTTGTCCCCCAAAAGACGCCTGTGATTCCAGTGGAAACACTCTTCTTTTTGGCAGCTATTTGTTTATTTTGATTTCGGTTCATTTTATTAATGATTTTTTTTTTTTATCTTCAATGGTTTGGGACACATGACAGATAGACAAAAAATATCAGCAATGACCATAGAATGCAGGAAACCGAATCAAAAATGACATACAGATATCATTACTTGCTGCATGCCTTAATTTATTTTTTGTTACGTGATTATTTTGTCTTAAACTTTTATTTTTCGTCATATTGAATGTTTTTTGTCTTCGCTTTTGTTAATATCATAATCATTCTCATGTCTCGCTTTTGAAGTGCACTCCACAGTAGTCAAAGAAGATGTAATTGAAACGATAGCGAGGTGTTTACGAGACAGGTCGTTCGCAGGAAGACCTGGTGGTCAGTCGGGTTCGCAGCTGCTAAAGCCAAGACGCCCTTCGCAGGGTTTGGCATTTGTCTCAACCTCTGTGTTTTTTGTCTGTTTGTATGTGTAGCTCTCGGTGTGAAGTACTGGGTGACGTTGCGCTCCGGTAGGTCCGAGATGAGAGAGCGATGTCGCCGTTGCTCTTGAATGGCATTCGGAGTACACTTGGGCCATGACGACTTTATGCTGTTAAAGTTTCGAGCATTACAAGCTGTTGGAAAACTTTTTGTTGGCACACATTTGCCTTTTGTATATAATTTTAATTTGTTGGTGTTGTCGATATAACATGTTGCATTCATTTTTTGTGTATATTTTAAGTTATCATATATATGTCCTAAAACTGCTGTTTCATATCCTCTCGTGCTGTATGTGTGTCCACTCAGAGAATTACACATTGAGGGCGAGATTTTGTCAGTGGCGTAGTTTGCGACACTAACTGGACTCTCTGACACTTAAAGTTGAGCCACACTCACACCTCACAAAAAACGCTTTATTGTGCCTGGTTTCGAGGCTTTTCATCTGCGTGTCTCTGAGGTGTAGATGAGCCATGGCTTCTCTTTGGTCGTCCGATTGCATTGTCTTTTTCTGAGTGGATGTCTTTTTAACACTAGTACGGTCTCCTCCCATTGATGGTGTCCCCGACGTGATCTCCAGTGCCCAGTCTGTTGTTTACTGTCTCTTCTTAAAACATCAGACTTACAGTTGGGTCTAATCAGACCTGTTTACTGTGGTTACGGGTTACAAAAAACCATTTGACCAACTCAGACAAGGAATCGAAGAATACTGTCATATAATATACTGAATATGATATGGAGGTTACTGGTGCCAAAGTCCGCTTTTCCTTTTCCTTGTCCCTTTCGCTCTCCTCATCTTTCAGCATTGGATAGTGAAATGTAGCTCTAGGACATCAGATCAATCTAAACTTTTCGATCCAGTCACTTTGAGTGTTTTTCGACATGCGTGAGTTTGTGTATATGTGGTGTCACATTCATGTGCAGTCCAGTGTGAGAGGATTGCTGTAGGTTGTAGAACGACATTAAGCGCAGCTGAAAAACCCCTCGCCTTGCTTTTTCACCGCACAGGGCCAACAAATTTACATAAGCAAAGTTTAGGCAAAGTTGGCGTCAAATGTGCTATTGGTTTACGCCCTGTGTTCGTGTTGAAGCAGCCGGTGAGATATAACCACTTAATAGGTGTTGTTTAATGTAAAAAATAGGCATTTAACATTGGGTTTTGGCTTTCAAAGAGGGAAGTGTGGCTTATGAGCACTAGTTTCCAGAATGCTCAAATAAACGAGTATCATTCCACCTTCACAGTGCACTGTTTTTTTTTGTTTTGCAGGCACTTTAACAGAGTAATGATTAGTCTTATGCTGCAATACGAAGTCAGATAGGCCTGTTACGATTTAATCATTAGCTTTTGCACCACAGCGAAATGGTTTTATTTGGATACACAGATTGGGACTGAAATGTACACATTATTCTTAAAGTAAGGTGGGTTGCAATATGAATACTGAATGTTACGTTTATTTTTCTTTTCTTTTTTGGTAGTGTAATGCCGGTCCGTTCCTCTGATATTGAAGAGAGTTGTTTTTTTTGTAAAACAGACCAGTGAGACTGCTCTGGTGTGTTTGGATCTGGTGCTTAGTCAGTTATAGCTTTTGAGGAAACTTTGTTCAGTGCTGTCTGCTAATTTAGATTAATCTCATTTTTCACCCCAAACCCACCGCTCTCATAGCTGCCCCATCCTGTTCAGCTGTCTGAAAAATATCCAGAAATAGAGAATTTCAAAAGATGATTTATTCACCATTACAGATCTGTAATGTGTAGAGTGTTACATTTTTGCAGTATTCATATTTGTGCCTTGATTTTTTTATTTATTTTTTCATTTTCGCATTGAGATGTGCAGTGGGGTGTGTGTGGATGGTGTTTAAAAATAAAACCGGGTGAACATTTACATTTTCTTTTACTCAAAGTTTTTATTTCGATCTGGAGCTGTGTCTTTAGAACTGAAATGTCTGCTGGTCATTGAATTGAAAAACATGAGGATCTTCTCCTGTGTTTGTGTTTCTCTAATGTTGAGGGTCCACTTTAACTGTAACACCAAGCAGAATGTCTTGAGATACCAGCTGCTTTGACTGACATGTACAATCCTGGTTCCAGATTTCTTTTTCTTTTTTTGTTGTTGTACCGGTCTCTTCACTGCGTTTCGCTCTGTAATGATCATTAAAAGACTTTATAGTTGAAAACTTACTCAGAGTCTGATCTCTTTAATTGGAGGAAAGTGGGTTCAATCAAGGTCCAAAATTAAAAGGATAGTTCACCCAAAAAATTAATTCTGTCATTACTCACCCTCATGCCGTTCCAAACCCGTAAGACCTTCGTTCATCTTCAGAACACAAATTAAGTTATTTTTGATGCATTCCGAGAGCTCTCTGACCCTCCCAGACAACAAGGATCCTAACACGATCAAGGCTCAGAAACGTAGCAAGGACATTGTTAAAATAATCCATGTGACATCAGTGGTTCAACCTCTCGGAATGCATCAAAAATATCTTAATTTGTGTTCTGAAGATGAACGAAGGTCTTACGGGTTTGGAACGACATCAGGGTGAGTAATGAATGACCGAATTTTCATTTTTGGGTGAACTATCCCTTTAACACTTGCCAAGCTCCCAAATGCAAGTAAAAACTGGCTTTGGTGAATAAAGTTATTCAGAAGTATTAAGTATCTTAGTATTAAGAAACTGCAACATAATTCATGGTTTAATTTAAAGTGAATAACTGTCAAATTCTTGATAATGTAATTGTGGTTCAAATGTCTTTTTATATATATATATATATATATATACTGTACAAATGATTTGGTAACACTTGAATTAAAGCCTTTATGTATAATGCTTTAAAGTATTCATAATGTAGACTGTAATGTATTATATAATTTCATAAATAATTGCAAACTGCATTGTAAAATTCACAATATTGGTGTTTTTGAACACAAATGCAGCTTTGGTGAGCATAAGAGACTTTTTCAAAAACACTTGACAAGTGCTTTTATCAGTCAAACTGGCATTGCAAGGTGTGGCAAATACTTAATGTTGGACCCTGGATGTAAAGGAATTTCTCTGTGTAGGTTGTTGTGTGCTGTCACTCATGTGCTTTGACGACCACAGCTGTTGTGGTGTATGAGAAGGGGCTCAGAAGAAGAGCCAGAGTGTAATGACGATGCCCCTCGGCATGAGCCTCAAACACCACCTGCAAAAAAAACCCCAAAGAACCATTGAGAAACAAAGCTTATCTGGAAGATAAAAGTTTCTTTACATACATGTGTATCTGTCAGTGCCTGTGTGCTCAGTATGTTTGTGAATGTATGCATGTGTTGTCCTTGAATGCTCTGTCCTCTTATCTAAAACTGTCCGTTACTGTGTCTATAGAAAACAAGATATAGGATCTTAAATATTTACCTCCCCACAGTTAATATAGCTCTTGGTTCACATCCAAGACAATCATTCAGGGTATTAATATACACATATTTGCTGCAAAAAACAGCCGTATGCAAATCTAGTAGGTTGGTGTTATAAATGATAATAAAAAGTAGTCCCAATAGTTAGGGGGCTATGTGCATTCTTGTGATTTAGGTGCCTTGATAACAACAATAACCCATCATTTAGCAACCATTAAATGCTCATGAATATAGAAGTGCCATCAAAGCATTACTTACATCGGCCACCTGGTGAAATGGTGTACGACCCTCCGCCTTCCAGTAGGCTTTAGTGTCAAACTCCACCCGATACACGCCAGGAGTGAACTCCTCCTCGGTGATCAAGCTGTGTACCTCTCCCGTCATGTCCACTTTCCTGTGAGAGAAAGCTCATTAATGATATTGACAGTGACAGGAAAGAGGAGCCATGACGATGTGACTAAAATGAAAATATGCAGAATAGAGAACAGAGCGGTTTGCCCTATAACGCCAAAACCACAGTAAAATAAACTCTGTGTGTATATATGTATGCAACAATCACAGTCTATTTTCTATAAATGTGTATATTTGAACTAAATCAGTGTTATTTTAGTATAATTAATACACTATATTTTTTGTTCATATTTTTAAAATTAGATTGTTTATATATTTTCTGTTTTCAAATTAGTTTAGTAATTTTAATTCATTTTTATTTCTTTAATTATTTAATTCTTATATATATATATATATATATATACAAACAAAAAATGTGTCATTTATTATTATTTATTTTTATTTTATTATTTATTTTTTTATTTTTGCAGTTTTTATGGTTTTCGATAGCAATACTAACCCCACTGTCAATTTTACTTACTTTTTTTTTTGTTTTTGGACCGAGACCATTATCCCCTTTTAACCGTTCAGTATTTATTGTCATTGAAGCATCAGGTTAATATTTGACTTCATTGACGTAAAATACTTATCCATACAAATTATTAACATGATTTGATTCTTCATAACATATTTTAGAAAATCCTTCATGAACTGTTTTTAACATTATTGTCCCAAAGACCCTGGGTAACATGAATAAATAATTACAAATGCAATCACTGAGGTCAAATTGAGCCCAAACAGAATGAACATTAATACAGAATTACTATGGATCGTCCACTGGGTTCTAATTAGGTCAGATGAAAAATCTGAAATCTAATTAATGTTATTAATATAATTGTATATTTGCATCAAAAGACTTTATAGAGCATGGCGGCTAATGTGATCTTACCCACTGGCAATCTTTTCCCATGTCCCACCTTGATTTTGGCGATAGACATCCAGAGCTATATTTCCAGCAGGAGTCCCTTTCACAGCATCCAGGATCTTTACTGTCAGAGGGCAGAGAACATCTGAACCACCATGAAAAGCCTGGAACACAGTCAATGTGCATAGACATGCTCCTAAGTTTAGTTCAGTCTAAACATGGTGCTTAGTCTTTCTGTATCTCATTTAGGTCTGGAAATAGAACCTTGTGCTTGGGATGATCTTATCTTTAGATGAATGGCTTTGTTGTATTCCTAGTAAGTTTCTTTTGGATAAAAGCATCTGCTAAAGTCAAATAATGGAAGCACCTGTATCAGCTCTGAGCCGTTTGTTAGGTCAGTGACCGCCTGGACGTACAGCTGTGTATATGTGTGTTTTCCCAGTACAGAGTTTACTGCAGCACTTTGTAGTATGGCAGAACGCAGATAACATTGCGACCCATATGTTAGCCTGTCCAACAACTGAAAGTACCTTGTCTCACCCAGAAGGGGTCAATTTAGGAG